ACTTTAGTGGAATCTGAGACTAAGGTTAAACATGGCAGCGTATTCACATTCCCATTTAACTTTCTTTTTATTACATTTCCTGTGTGGGGTTATGTGTCAAATGAATTTGAGTGTCTCACACCTCTATAACTCCCGTCACAGGTGTTCTGCTCCCGGCTCACGGAAGAGGCAGGCCGAGGCTCCTTTCCTCCTGACGTGATCAGAAACATCTTCTCCAACATTTCCTCCATCTTCTCCTTCCACAGCCAGTTCCTGCTGCCTGACCTGGAGAGCTGCATCAGCCACTGGTGAGAGGTCAAGTCATTGCGTCCTTAGTTGGAAAACAGGAAATTAGTCCCTTTACAAACTAAGAAAGGATTCTTGTTCAAACAGAATCACAACTCCTAAGAAGAATATTTTAAATGTGTCTATAATTTACAATTAAACAGTGATGGGAAATGGTATCTACTGCCAGTATAACTACTGCGTCTCTTTAACTTCCAAATCACAAACCTGTACTTATTACTTGTAATGTATTATACTGCAGCTCACCTTACTTACAAACAGTATATACTGTTGCATGCAGTACAGATCATTCTGTAACATTTCACCTTGAACTTTGACCCTCTTGCTGATATATCCCCTGCGCAAAAGGTTGTGGGTCAGAACATTTTTCGCTTAAATTGGATAACTATACATAAAAAGGCAGCACATAACCCCTCAACGTTATTGCTTACTCTAAACCTGTAGGTGTGAGAGACCAGGCCTCGGTACCGTTCTGCTGAAACACGCACCCTTCCTGAGGATGTACGCCAACTACGTCAGGAACTTTGACCAGGCCATGGAGCTGGTGAGGACCTGGACTGAACGTTCCTCTGCCTTCAGAAACATCGTCCAGGAGATACAGGCAAGGAGCTTCCAGCAGGATATGCATTTTTACTGACTTACATACAATTATTTAGGTCTTAATAGGATGTCACAGGTGTTTTGTCATTTTTTTAGAGTCAGGACGAGTGTGGCAGCCTGACCCTGCAGCACCACATGTTGGAACCGGTCCAGAGGGTCCCACGTTATGAGATGCTGCTCAAGGATTACCTCAAGAAGCTGCCCAAGGACAGCCCAGATTATGGTCCTGCTCACAGTATGTACACTGTAGTATTTGTATTATCTCAATTTGGTTATTGTACCACATCCCTACTGTGAGTGTGTTAGATTTATTTGTACGTCTTTTCTCTCATGATCAGAATAAACCTCTTTCTTTGTGTTTCTGCAGAGGCCTTGGAGACTATTTCCATGGCAGCCACCCACTCAAACAGTGCCATCCACAAAGCTGTAAGTCACATCATTTACTATTGTGTTAAGTAAGATTTCATCACTGACAACCAGAACATTTATGGTAATATATCGCCAAAAGTGACCCTGACATTATGGCCTTTTGTCTTGTGAATTTTCAATCTTTCAAATACCTCCAGGGATTTTGTTCATATTGAAAGTGTAATTGAATAAGCCAAGAAATACTTTTTTACTGACAAAAATGTCCATTACCAACTAGTGTTGTGTCCATACAGATCTGTTTCTCTTTCTTTACCTGTAGGAGAGCCTGAAGCGGCTGCTGGAGATCTATGAGATGGTTGGAGACGAGGAGGTGGTTAACCCCACCAACGACTTCCTCAGGGAAGGCCGTCTGCTCAAGCTTGCTGCCAGGAACACCTCGGCCACGGAGAGGCACCTCTTCCTGGTTAGAAACAGATGCAGACACACTACACATTTACACAGAAAATGATCCATAAACTGCAAATAATTTACTTTTTTTCTTTTAGCTTTCTGGCAAAGAATAAAACCCAGGATTACTTTTTCTAAACTACTCTAAGAGTGCCCTAAAGTGTACATTTATATATTGTATTAAGGTGTATAACTTCTTCTTCTTCACAGTTTAACAACTTCCTGCTGTGCTGCCATCCTAAATTCAGCCTGGTTGGGCAGAGGTTTACGGTCCGCTGCAGGATCGGAGTGGATGGCATGCAGGTGCAGCAGACCACCAACGAAGACCACCTGTACACCTTCCAGGTCTCTGGGAAAGAGAGGATCCTTGAGCTGCAGGCCACGTGTGTGAAAATATTATTAGAAACATCAACAGTGAACAGATAATCCTGTATTATACAACGTCAGTCCATTAACATTGCATTAAATGTGTAGCTCATGGTTTTTTATATTTTTGTCAAGCTCTGAACAAGACCGAGATGAATGGATAAAGGTAGATGTTCTTTTTTTATTTAGTATTTTTATCACATAGATCAGGAAAATATTGGTTATTTTAACAAGTTTTTATTTCCAGGTGATTCAGGAGGCCATTGAAATGTTTCAGAAGAAAAATGAAACCTTCAAATTGGCTTCTAAGGAGACAAAGGAAGAAGATCCAGTAAGATTGATTATTATTATAAGATTGGTTGTTTTGAAAAAGTAGAACATTTCCCTCATCTTATCTGTTTGATTTACAGATGGAGGAACTTGGCCGACGCGCCCCTCGCTGGATCAGGGACAACGAAGTGACCTTGTGTATGAAATGCCAGGAACCTTTCAACGCACTCACCAGGAGAAGACATCACTGCAGAGCCTGTGGATTTGTGAGTGAATAGCAGGTGTCATTTACACAGGGGACATGAACACACCACAGGGGACATGAACACACCACAGGGGACATGAACACACCACAGGGGACATTACAAAAACCATGTATACACTGATCAGTAAAACCTTGAAATGGTTTCTGTTTTTTTTTCAAAGTCTTGGTAATTATCTACTCCGAACAAATGCTTAATTTAGGATAAGATAATGATGGTGTTTCTGCTCCCCAGGTGGTGTGCTGGAAGTGTTCAGACAACAAAGTGCCTTTGGAGTACGATGGCAACAAACTGAACAAAGTGTGTAAAGCCTGCTACTTCGTCCTGATCGCTCAGAGAGGGGACAGAATGGAGGAGAAGAAGAAGAGGAGGACACTGGAGGTTAGCCTTGTTCTTTTCAAGGTTACATTCAACATTAAATGGATGTTAGGCTTCAACAGCATTGTGTTTTCTTCTATGTGTGTTCCCAGACATCCACAGTGTCCAGTGACTGTGAAATGAGTGGCTTCCTGCTGTATGGCGACAACCCTAAGACCTGTCAACAAGTGTGGTCTGTTATCACCCGCACTGAACCCCCAGTCCTCCACCTGTACCCTGCTCTACAGGTAGGGGTCTCTAACAATGTGAAATACGGCTTAATCCTTGAGTTTATTATGGAAGAGGCTATTCCTTTTATTTTCTTATTCCGAGCCAGACTGGGTTACTGTATGCCATCATTTACCATAATTATTATTTTTTTTCCTCAAATGTATTCTCTAATTTCCTCAAAACTGTTTGCCCTAAGTCTCTAATTAAATGAGAAAACACAAAAGTCCTTTTATTAATTCACCATACAGAAATAGGCTTTACCATGTGGTTATTTCATATGGAGAATATACGCATTTGTTTTTCAGAAAACATGCTATTTGGTGACTTAGTTATATAGTTTGCATGTCTCTGTTAAGGAGTGGGACTGTCTCTATAGGATGTGCAATTGATGTTGTCATACACACAAATGTCCCCACAGTCGCTCCTCTTCGACCACACAACAGACAATACATGCAACCGTGCACCCACATGGAAAAAGGGAAATACTGGTGAAATTGTAAAGAGCTGTTGTGCAATCGACTGCATAAACGGTCAGTCTTGGTGTTCATACAGCTAAAGGTTAGAACACTGACACTACTTCTTCTTTTGTAAATCAAACCTAATAGGGATTTTCTTTCTTCAGCCTAAACGATGACCATTCATGTATTTAGGTTGTCTCCGTAATATTATCATTTTGGATGTTGTTTGTTAGTTATCATTGTAACTTATTTTCTCAAATGGGCATATGATATTGTCTTACATCATTTGCAAGACCCGGAATGAATGAAAAGGAAAGTGTAATGTGTAATATCAGAAAATACTGTATTGTTGTCAAAAGGACCAATATAATATCCCATCTTGAAACTTGCGATCTACACAACAACATCTTCTGTTTGCCATCATGTACAAAAAGTCACATTATTGCATGTTCTCTATTAGACAGCTTGCCATCCACCAACTTCTTTTTTTAATCCTTTCCTTCGCCCTTTCATGTCTCCAGGAGTTGAAGCCCCTCTCCAGTATCCCTCTGCTGGGCTGCAGTGTGGACGGTTTCCCTCAGGAGCTCCACGGTCGGCCTTGTTTCTGTTTAAGACAATCCAACACCACCTACACGTTCTCCTGCTCTGGCTTGGACCTCAAAGGCCGCTGGCTGGCTGTTCTGAGAGCTGCTGTGACGAGGGGGCAGTGCAACCTCAGAAGATGTGTCAGTGATGTAAGTGTGTGTCCCTCCGAGGATTTTTTCATCATTGAAGACATTGACAACTCCTGAACGCTTGAGTACAGGGACTTTGAAGGTACTCATGTCCATGGGCACAGAACAACAGACTAAAGTCCATTGATGTTAAAGACGATAGCTTTGAAATGAACATTTTTATGAAATGAATGAAATCTTAAAGTGAAATTTTAAGGAATGTAAATTGTGTTAATAACAATATCCAGACTGTGTTTTCCTTATAAGTGTCATTGCACTTTATTTATGAAATGGTTTACAGTAAAATAAAGTGAAGGAGTTTTAACATGAGTCCGACAATCCCTTCAACTACAAAGATGGCTGCTTCAACTCTGTACACGTGATCTAAGGGGCCATGCGATGTGGCGTGAAAATATTCGAACGGTTGTTCTCTTACATAATTGCATCAGTGATACACAGAGGCTCTGTGGGATCATAATTGCCTTATAAAACACATTCAACTGATCCCATTTCTTCACAGATAATGTTACAGCAATTTAATATTTACACTCGAAACAGTTCACAGCTAAATAAATTCTAAAATTAAATGTTTAAAAAAATTATCGCTGTAAAACATAAAATGCCAGAATACTAATTATTAGTTTTTTTGTACAGATGTGTTTGTCAATTTTTGAACAATATAATTGACTTTTTTGTCATGTCAATAGAATTTATCTTGACGCATGTGTTTTCACGTTGCATTAACGTCATGCTGATTAGGATATTCTCCCCAAAAATTGATTTATGAGAACATTGCTGTTCCATCACATTTCAAAGCGATACCTGATCAATGGAGGTATGCAAGCTGATATCGTATATCCCTTCAAAGGGAAAAACTGCTTGAAGCTGCATTAATCAGGATTGATTACAACAGACCCAAATAAGTACATGTGATGTAGCTCACAAACTTGCTAGGAATGCAAGCTAGCTAATCCCTGAAGCTTTATGAAGTTTAACTAGTAATAGTTTTAATGAACATGTTTTATGTTTCCACCATCAACAGACTTGTTTTCAGCAAAACTGTCCCACAAAGCTATTGTATTCTACCTATATAGCGCTCAACAGGAGACAGTTGGCAGCTAGAGCTAGCTAGTAAGGACAGTGGAACAACTAGCAGCTAAAAGCTAATTTTCTCAGAAGTTGGTGAAGCCCAAAGTAGAGCTAAAAGAAACAGGACTCCATGTGAATGCTAATGTCTGATTATTGCGTATACATTAGCCATTAAAAACCTTAAGCCAGAGATCATGTTGGAGTGGTGTATTCATTATTTAAATTTCCTCCATTGTCATTTTGATTAATGCAGCTTTAAGGTTCTCACTACTGATAAACAGCCAAGCACCATATTGTTTTCACAGCAATCCACAACACAAGATAACTTCCTCTCTGTTGACCATGTCAACAGCATGCTAAGTGTGCTTCAAAATGTGAAAAGCTTTAGTTATAGTATTGTGTTTAAACTGATTTTCTATAATCTTATCTGCAGACAGAAATTATCTCAGGGCCTCGTTTTCAACTCACCCCTTGAAGGGCTGTCAATAACTTGATTCTCAAGCTGAAAAACACAACTAGGCATATTTGAACAGTGTCGGTGCAAATAAGATTTCAAATCACCTCAACACAATCAATCAACCTTACCTTTTGGACATCATTAGAAAATCTGATTTGGTCTTAGCTCGGGGCAAAAACGATTTGTCTTAAGGTTAAATGGCAAGCTGGTTATGGTCGAGTGAAACCACTGTGCTTACAGACATGGCTCTTAAAGACAAAAGTTGTTTGACCTGCTTGTAGTGACATACGTTTCAGGAAAGGACGCCCTGATTTCAACATGGAGGCTTAAAAAATGAGATGTTTAAATCCAGCACTTGATACAAGGAAAGCAACATTGGCAGAGAGGCAGACCCATATCACACATCATCTGACACACTATACATAAAGGGGACAAACTGGATTATTTACAGGACGGCTACCGCTCGTCTTCACCTTTGTACATCATTCCTCAGTTTTGTCCACAGAAATTCTCCAAATCACAGGATCAGAAATCTTGAGGGACGTCTCTTGCTTTCCCTCTACTTGATGTTGAGTGCAGTCCAGGCCACTTTTATTGATCTCCTTTTGGGTTTTGCCATCCATAGCATTCAAACGCACATCAGTGTTGAAATACTGCAGCTGTATCCAATCCAGAGAATCAATTTTAATCAGCCAAGGGGGAGTAATCCATCTGCATGATGCTGTATCAAAGAGAACTGACCACATTTCTTGTTATAATAAATGAGTTTACTTCTTGTTGCTCCTGCCATAAGGCTGTGAGGGAGCAGAACCGGGGTGAACAAAATAAGCACGGGGGGATATACGACAAAAAAGGAACACTCTGTAAGACTCCAAGAAGCCAGTAGTGCAGCACTCAACATTCTCTCGAGGTAAATCTACCTCCTTTTTTAAACCAGCAGTGATGAAAGGCATGAAGCCAGCCGTCCACAATCTCTCAACTGCAGCACAGCTGCTCGGACACCAGCAGGGTGTCGTAGCCGTAGATCTCCAGCAGGTGGAGCAGAAAGAGCCTGTCTCCATGGGGATCCAGACCCATGGCCCTCACACTCTCATGGGTCAGCGTGGGATCGGGGCTCGCTGCCACCTCGCTGAGGGTCTGGAAAATCCTGTTGTTCTGCTCCAGGAAAAACCTAGATAAACAGAGATTTAGAAGGAAGGATGAGTACTATTATATTGCTCTTAAGCCCGGCTCCACCAAAAAAGGTATAATGTTTTTTTAATATATACAAAAGCGATCTTAGAATTTCAATTGACTTGAACATCTATTTGTGTCTGCTCTGTGTTACAGTGCTTACTGCTCCAATGGCTGGATAAATAAATCATGTTGTACTTACAGAATAAATAGATCCTCTTCACTGGACACACAGTCTCCATTCTCCTCCTGGGAGTACAGCAACATCTGCCTGCACACACACACAGACACACACTTTATTCCTAGCTGCAGGGGAGAGTGTACTATTTGTGATTATACTGGCATATTTGAATGTGGTACACATTGTGCTGGCAGCTGTGTGAGCCTGTACCTAACAACAGTGGTGCTTTGAGCTGAATGCCAATGTGTTATTGCTAGTTACTATGGTCACCATCTGTGTTGGGGACTATTTTCAGGTGGAGATTAATACCCATTTTGTATTTAGGGCAGCAGGACGGTGTATTGGTTGTTGAATGGTTATAATTGATGTTGTTAGCAGTGTCACCTACCTCTGTTCAGTGAGTTTGCGATATTTCTCCCTGTCTGCGGTGCTGAGGCGGAGCAGAGGCTTCAAACCATCCCTGTAGGTCTTTACATTCTGATTGTCTACATACACGTCATACAGATCCTTCTTCTCCTCAAAGATCTTCTCAGTAGTACCTTAAAATGCAACCACACAGAAGATTTGAGAGGGAGATGCTGATAGTACCTGCAAAAAAACACCCAGTCCTTTTTGGAGCATCTACTCACACGCTACGTAGGAGAGCTCGTTCTCCAGGGCGCTGATATCGGCCACGTTAACGTAGAAGAAGGGCCGGAACTCAGGCACAGCCACGCCGATCCCGGGGATGGAGATGTTTGCCAGGCAACAGCAGCAGTACACTGGGAGAGACAAGGGTGGGTGGGGGATGACATTTGAAAAAGTATCAACACGTTTGGGAGAGAAAGACAGCGACACAGGATGCAAGTGTGTGTGTGACGTGTGTATTGTCCAACACTGATGCAGCGTGAGAAAAACTGAATGTGCGCTGATGTGACATGACAGTGTTAAAAAAAAAATGAGTAAAAGACAGTTTTGCCAGGTTATAAGATAATTTGTTACAATTAAATACAAATATATAACAAATTATAGAGAATCTTGCTTTTATTTGACTTTGTTATCTTGCCAACAGTAAGAATAAAAGAGACTGTTAGCTTAGCCTAGCATAACCATTTCAATTCAGCAATAACATTTATAAGTGTTGACCTTTTTTGCAAAGCATTAGAGGAGCTGGTAGGTGAATTTATTTTTCTTTAGACAGATAGGCTTGCAGTTTTCTCGGTTTCTAGCATTTGTGCTAAGCTAAACAGCTGCTAGCTCCAGCTTTGCAGTGAATACACAGACACTAGAGCAGGGGTCGGCAACCTTTTTGATATGAAGTGCCATTTAAAAAAAATAATTGTTATCAGCGTGCCAACGATCGAGAATTATCAGCAGGAGGGCAGGGGAGCCTCGCTGCGGGGAAGCAGTGTGTGGACCTGTCAGCGCAACTCACATGATGCCGAATTTAACAAACACATTTAAATAATTGGTTTAAACGGCATAATAATAAGGACGATCGTCCGTTCTGTGATTCTCCAGAGCACACATGCTATGATATTAGGGTCATGCAGAGTGAGATGAGATCGCTGTCCCTTTAAGAGAGAGAGAGAGAGAGAGGGGTGTGGCTTGTGCATGTGTGTTTGTGGATGGTAGAGCGACAGTGAGAGAACCTATGGAGAGAACGTGTATGTTTCTGGAAGTGAAACGAGGAAGCAGAAAAACAGAGGTCTGTGATGTATTTTGTGAAACAGAAGAACAGCTAAATAAATGCAACGG